AGTAATATATTTACTGTGAAAAATGGTGACATGTTCAATACTTATTTTACCCGGTGTATATATTTATATATGCCATCCATGTATTTATCCATTTATTTTTCAGGTGAGCAGACAGATGTTGGGTGTGTGGTCCTGTGTTTTCTTGGTGTATATTTAATATACTTTTAATCTCTATTTTAATCTTTCTAATTACTTCTCTCTCTGTTTTTCTCTCTTTCTCTATTTTCTCTTCGCTTTAAAAAAAGTCACTGATGATGAAGAAATAAATAAACTAATAATATTTAGTTTTGTTTTCTATTGAAGTGACAAAAAAAAGAAAAGAAAAAAATCTTTATCCACACAGAAACAGTAAAATTGACCCAAAACACTGTAGTAACTATACCAGGCCTGTATGTGACGCTTCTATAAAAATGCAACAAAGCTGGAACACYTGTAAAACGTATAAGCTGGGTGTGAAATATAAAAACAGTGAAAAACAAGTCACTTTWGAGTCGTTGGTTAGGATTAGAAGTGGGGTGATTGCATTATCATTTCTGAATAGTTGCATTTTATATTTGTTTCACCCATTTCAGAACATACCATCTTCGTGGGCAGAAATGATTTCYAGTATTTTGCTTTTTTAAAGCACAGATCTGAGTGACTGCAGGCCAGTCTTTTCACTTTTCTACGTCGTGCCGTGCGTCTCCGTGTGGCTCTTTGCTTCCATGGTGACGTCTCCACAACTGCAATCAGCCGTGTTTTTGTTGTGTCGTTTCAAATGCAGCTCTAGCCAATTTGCCTACTCTAATTTCCAACCCGGTGACAATCTACTTCTCATCAAACGGTAATTATTATGTGTTTATCACACGCACGGATGAGGCACTTTAGGTGTAGGTAGCACCACCTCTGCTTGTGGGGGGGTATTTGTTAATGCAGTGGGCGACGTCGTGCATGTGCTCCCACAACGAGCGACTGTTACCGTGCCCTAATGGAAGCGTAGGTGTCGAACCAGTCGCTCAGAAAAGGAGCAATGCACCTCATTAACCAATCAAGGAGCAGAAGTGRGGGGGTGTTGGGAACAGGAGAACCGTAGTTGTGCAACTCCTGAGGGGGGAGACCCAAACAATAAACATCTTACTACATGAGGCTGCTGAGTGTTGGAAGGATCTGAAGGGCCGTCCTGCTCTACTCCACTCTGTGTAAAGATGGCCTGGGTATGTTAATTATTTAGATCAAGCTTTTGCTCTTTCATAAACCAAAAAGGCAGATTCTATATATATTTTTTGTATGCTGTTCAGAAACCCATTAATCCATTTCGAGGCTGTTTGTTCCGCTGCACTTGACTATTTCATTGTGAAAACCAACAGTAGTTACAAAACTCACCCTTTTAAAGCGTATTTTTTTGTCTTTCATTATGGGTTTTACATTAGCAGATAAAAAACAAATAAGTTCAGAAAGGAACTCTAAAAACAAATTAAGTTTTTTTGAAAGATTGCATATCACCTTAAACTAAAACAATGAGAAGAGACAGTTGTAGTCATCTGTAAAATCTTGTAAATAACTTTTTTTTGTCAAGTTGTCAGGTTTTGTGAGATGTATTGACACTTAAAAACAAAACAAACCTCATGCAATCAGGTTCTCAAAACATAATTTGGGCCAAACTCTCATGTACTAATGCAACTAATTTTATTTCAAAATTTTCTAAATTGATTGAGTTATAGTCATGTTTGTGTTTGCTTTGAGTGGGATTGACTCCAGACTTAATCACTTGTACATATGCATAGACTTCCAGTTTATTAGACACTTTGCTAACACACACACACACACACACACACACACACACACACACACACACAC